CATCGCATCTGCATACCCTTTGAATATTGATCTAACATAAAAGTTTTGCAGAAAGGTCCCTAAACATTTTTCTAAAATTAGAATACATTTAAAAATTAAAAACCATAAATCTTAATAAAAAATCAAACATCAATTTAAAGCTAAGAGATTCTATAAGTTCTACCAAACGTTCCCCCAAGCCTACAAAATTCCCAATTTCTAACATTTTTTGTTATCCAAAAACAATGGGTAAATCATAACAAAAATAGGAAAATTGTGAGAAAATGTAGTAATTCGTAAATTTCATCTCCTACATTATGGAGGTGAGATCATGAGGTGATTTGAGGCAAGAAAAAAATCACCAAAAAAATTAAGGGGTTTTTATCTACCCACCATTCAAAACTTTACTAATAACAGAATAAAAAACAAAACTTCAAATATTTCGAAACAGCCACCCAAACCTAAAATCCTTCTTCTTAGCCACCGAAGCCCTCTGTTGTCTCATTCCAGTTCGAAGCTGCCACCCGCGCCGACGTCGTCATTCGACTACGACTGCCGCGACACCCTCTGTCTCTCCTTCCCGCATCATCTTCTCCTGCCTCCGGCCCATGCAACGTTCGCCTCCTACACGGTAAGTCCTTCTTCCTACTTAGCGCTTCCTTCTTCCCGTTCAAAGTCGTGACCCCATTACTGTTTCATTTCTTGTTTTTCGCATCAATCCTTTCATTCACTTCTTATCTGCATTATTTGCATAAGCCTGGGAACTTGATTTGGATCCTTCTTTAGCCACAGGAAGGAATGAAAGGACTATCATACTTTGAGCATTCTTCTTTTTTGTATTATTTGTAAAAATTGGCTTCCTACTTTGAGCTGCTGATATGTATTCCTGTACCACGGGATGGAATGAGTAAGCTATAGGTGAAGAGCTATGGTAGGTCTGTCTCTTTTTGGTTGCTTCAGAGTGATTGATTTTGCATTTTCTGGATTTTCTGCATTCGTTTTGGGGTTTGCAATATGTTTTTTTAATCATCAGTTTCGTTTGACTTGAGTGTAGAATTACGTGTAGATTGTCTTGTTTTGATTCTTTCTTATTTTAGATTTTTTGAACCAGGCACTTCAATTTGTGTTAACACTATAGTGTTTTAAATGATTTTCTTACAGTTCATGATAATCTGTATTCTCTAGGGTTGTGGCAATATGTTTTTTTCTACAATAATCCAGCTTGTATGAATTTGAAATTTAATGTGGATTTATAACTCATCTTTTCTCTTCTTTTTATATATTTTTGAAACCCGCTTTAGTTTGCAAAGTTCAATGGTGTTGAGTTTGAGATTTCAAATTTGAATCGAAGAAACATTGAGGCATGGCATTGTGCTTACTTTGCAACAGATACAGTCACATGCGCTTGATTTTTTTTCTCTATTTGATCTTCTAATTTGTGTGCTGATACGTGATATCTAACTAATAAAAGTTCACAATTTGGTATATTCTCAGTAATGTTGTTCTGTTTGTGCGCAATCAATCACTTTTATGTAAAATTGTCTAATTTTTTTTTTTTTTTAGTTTTTAGATATTTGCATTGTCCATTGGGTGATATTGTCTTCAATGATTCTATTGAAAATGTACATAAGTACACACAATTCTTAAGCCCAATATCTGATATTTATGGATGGACAGTTAATGAGCCAAATGGCTAGTGATAGTCCTTTGAAAGTTGGCTCTCAATTTAAAGATTCAATAACTTTGAAGCAATTTTTGCGGACATTGGTCATTGCTAAGAATTTTGGAATGAAATTTAAGGCAAATGACAGAAAGATAGCTATTGCTATTTGCTCTTATAGTGGCTTCCCATAAAGAGTGAAAGCCTCAGTGTTGGTCGATGGGCAAACATTTAAAAAAAAAATTGAAGCTTCACATATTTATCCAGGTATCAACATAGCTGATAAAAAACAAGCAACGGCTAGTTGGATGGCTAACGAAATATAAGATATGGTAAAAATCTATCCAAACATGCCTCTAAAACAAATAAAATCGAGCTTAGAAAGTAAGTATGGCTTGCCACTACACTAAATTAATTTATGGAGATCTAGACAAATAGCACGGGATTAAATATTTAGATCAGTTGATGATAGTTTCAAGTGGTATCCTACACTATGTGCGGAGCTTATCAAAAGGAATTCGGGTTCTCATATTACCTTTGAGGGCAGTAGCATTAATCAAACATTTGAGAGATTGTATGTTAGTTTCAAGGTGTGCACCGATGGTTTCCTAACTGGATGCAAACATCATGTGGGCCTTGATGCATGCCACTTAAAACCTAAATACTTGGGGGTCTTGCTTTTGGCAAATGCAATGGATGGGAATAATGGATTTTCAAAATGTATGATTGGGCAAATGTATCTTCTAAGACATTTGCATGGCTTTGAAAATGTACTGGCTCCTACTCTAAAAAGTTTTTTTTCTTGTTTGTGATGCATTTGTTTTAAGATATTTAGGTAACATTGTTGATATCCAAAAATGCTATTTTTTTCTAGATAACATATGCATTTGTGTATCACAATTGATGAATTTCAGTGGAACGAACAAATAATGTTGAGGTTATTGTAGATTGGCAATCTTTTACATGGTAATGTTCACATAGGAGACATAAGATGTTGTTGACTGTTGGTAGCTCTTTCAACAACAACAACAACAACAACAACAAAGCCTTAATCCCACTACGTGGGGTCGGCTACATGAATCCTTTTTCTCCATTGCGTCCTATTTAGTGTCATATTTTCATTTAGTTCTAGTAAATTAAGATCATTTTTAATATAATAAGCCCAAGTCTTCCTAGGTCTACCTCTGCCTTTCTTAACACAAGTCGAATTTAAAACATCTACTCTCCTAATCGGATCATCTAATGGTCGACGTTTAATATGACCAAACCATCTAAGGCGACTTTCTCTAATTTTGTCTGTCACAGGAGCTACACCAACCCTATCACGAATATATTCATTCCGCATTTTGTCTCTAAGTGTAAACCCTATCACGAATATATACACCAACCCTATCACTGTTGGTAGCTCTTTCCATTGGAAAAATTAAATATCACCAACTGTTTGATTTTTCGGTCAACAATAAAATCTTCTTTTATTGTTACCCTGCTGAGCTATATATATTACACATGGCAATTTGCATGCACAATAAACTTGGGCATTTCGATGAACTCCTGACGTCACAAGAGAATGACTAGAACTCATTCCTACAAGCACAACAAATGGCGCTCAGAAAGATTAGTTAACACATTTAGAAGGACAAGGTAAGATTAAAAACACTAATACTTTAACTAGGTAAAATTTAAATGCATCTTCTCATGCTTACTAGCCTCCTCGCGAGCCAGTCTATTTTTCGGGCAAATATGTGATCAATGCCCAATACTTCAAGTGAAAAAAAAAAAAAATTAAATAAATCACATTGTTCTCTTACAAAAATCCTATCTTTCACAAAACTAATCATAAAAATACCTTTCACGACATTTCTAGCAACGTTCTCTTCTCAAAAAAATGCAAAATGAGGGAGTAATCTCTCCACTCCACTTCCAACAAAGAAAATTGTTTTTGTTCACTCCATTGCTTTTTTTCCTGCATCCTTCTCTCATCAATTGTTTTTACAGTACAAAATTTTTCTTTTATGATCTGATTTGATGGTTATTAAAAACTCCTGGGATTGTATCAGATCATTGTGTTCTTGTATTCGAATGCATTTTTTGCATAACTATCCTCTAGCCCAGTTTTCTTTGTTATGCTTAATTCCTTTCATATTTATAAAAAACTCCTGCATATATAACTTCAATAGTTTCATACCATACAAAATTTTAGCATATAATACAATGACAATTACGTGATTTGATGAACCACCCCTCTGCTCTTCCATCAAAAATTGGTCAAGGCCACCGATACTAAGAAGTACTATCGTCCTCAAAGAAATTTATATCAACACAACTATGTCAACCTTGCTTATAGCTTTTGGATAAATAAGGAAAAAATAGATATCTTTGAATTTAGCAGTCATGAAAGTGAATTCTCACAAAATCACCCAAAACTGAGTTGTATGCTTCATCTGATAAAACAAAAACCATCAGGTAGCTTAGGTCTACAATGAAATAAGCCTATTTGATAAGCTTTTTACACTGTCTATAGATACATATTGAATAATGAAACCCCTGATTCCCAAGTGATCCCTTGGATGAGAGAAACCATGATTCCTTAAAAAAGCTGCCCGTGTCAAAGACGCATAAATACATGTCTTTTAATTATTCAGACCGAGGCCTGCCAAAAGGCTCGGACGATACCACTACAAATCTTGACAAGATTTACCACCACACCTCCCCTCTCTACCTATTTACCCTGACCGCAAAGACTGAAAACAAATTAAAAATGTAAAAGCATGTGTTTATCAAAAAAAAGAGAAACCATTTACAACGTTTAAGAAAAGATGGAAAGCCATGAGAATTTGTTAATCAAGAGTTATCTCCTTTATTTTTAAAGTATCAAAAAAACAACATTTCTGCGGAAACAACTGTGAGCGAACTGTCCTTTTGCAGGCGTATATCTACTTGCCAAGCTGGCAAGATGACAAAGAGTTATTGATGTCGGATAGCTGAAGATAATACACTAATCATAGAGATTAAGCAACTTCAATTAAATTGAAAAAAAAAAACAAAGAACAAAAGAACACTGGCGCTTCATTTCTAATAACGAAATATTTCTCTTCCTCAATTAGTAACCCAACTGGAAGCAACAGCTTTATTATCTCATAAACATCTATGTTGATGTTCAAATTAGGTGTTCAAACTCATCTTTTTTGCTAAGTACGGATCCCTGCCCGGTTTGCCACAAAAATATTGAAAATTTTCTTCTTCAAAACATTACTCCACAACCACATTAACGCTTTACATGTTTATCATACGAAATGCAGCAAAAAAAAAAAAAAAAGAAAAAAAAACTTCGGATAAGATTTATTTTGACTAAGCGACATACCACTTAGCACGAGCAGTAACTTTGATTGCTGAAGGCTGAGGAGCAATGCAGGGACCTTCTGTGGCAATCTTATAAAAGGCGTATAGCTGCAGCTGGACGTCATTGGATACCTTGGTCGAGTTCCGGTCTGCAGCAGTGGTGGCAACAAAAGCCGAGGCCGCGCCAAACATCTCATCCAGTTCTGTACTCTCAATTCCTTCCCAATCATCATCATCCTCCCCTAAATGACTCTCTTCCGTGACTAAACCCTCAAAACCATCATCTCTGACCCGATACCTGTCATCATCGGCTAAGGATGAGCTTTGGTCCCCGGCGTTTTCCTCGTTACCTTCCTCCGATGCTTTATCAGCTTCCGATGTTTCGCCAACCGGGTGGTCCTTATCGCGCGCTACCCTAAGATGATCTTGCCGAAAGGAAATAACAGTGGAGATAAGCTTGGCGACCAGGTAAGAAAATATAAGCCCAACGACCACGGCCTGGCCGAGATCCTGCCAGTCTCCCATTGGGATTATGGGAACGAATCCTCGGAAAATCTATTGGAATTGAAAAGAAGCTACAGTAGATCTCTAATCGTTGTCTGAATCAAAATATCTATTGGAATTGAAAAGGAGCTACTGGAAATCCCAAAGGAGGGATTTGGAGCCGGATTTAACCTGAATTTGACCTAAATAAAGCCGCGGATTTCGTAAATGCGGATTTACTGATTTAGCACGGAAATCCCGTAAATGATGATGAAGTTACCGGTCTTATGCTCCGTCTGCTTCCATGGTTCATAGTGCTTCTCCGCGTCAGATAGAATTTTGAAGATAAGTAATATATACATATATATATATATATATATACATATATATATATATATATATATATAATCAATAATTTGAAGTTTTACACACATATACATGTGTTTCAATTTTAACCTACATACAACTTATATATGCCCCAAAAATATGTGTTTCATTTTTATAAATTAAAATTATGATATTTTTATATGGTATGAAAAATTTAGATGATTTAGGGTTTAGGTAAATGCTCCTAAATAATTTCTAATTTGTTTTTTATTTATTTGATTTGTTTAAAAAAAAATTTATGATCAATTATTAAGGGCATTCTTTTATTTTGTTTATGATATTATTAATTTATGGATAATATTCACTAATTTAATAACTATTTTAGAATATATATTCATATACTATATTAAAACTCTCGTTAAAGGTATTAATAAAGAGGGAACATTAATCCAATGTGTACACATTTGTCCATTTGTAATTATTGCAGTTTGTGTGATGTTAAGATCCCACAGAGTCGCACGAAATTAGATTGTAAGTCAAACAAGATAAATTATTTATTAACATTATTTGTTAGTTGATAATGATAGATATCAGTGTCAATAATGATGGACAATTTATTGACCTTATAATAGTTTTGGTGTCGACTGTTTGGTTGTGACTAAAATTTTAAAATTGAGAGTCTCAAATGCATCTTACATAAAAATACTCATCTGATAGATTAACACAATACATATATATTTTCATTACGAGCGTTATGGTCATCTTCGTTCACAAAGACTCGTCAAGCAACCGAAAAAAGGTCCTGCGCCATAATTTGATATTTTTGACTAATGATAACATAATTTGAAGATATTGAGTTTATGAGATGTGTAAATTTTAAATGTTTGTGATGTCGTGTCATGGCCTTAGTGGGTGTTTAGGAAGCATGTTTGATGGGATGGAGTTTTGAGATGGCGAGAGAATGATGATCCGCGATTAGATGGTGATAAACATCATTTGATAGTTTCCCCAGCTAAATACAATAAAAGGAACTCCCAAACAATAATGTATGAAGTAAGGAGTTTCACCACCTATTCTTAAGCATCTACATACACATCCCTTGCAAAAAGAAGATGATTCAACACTTCCTAATGTAGAAAACATATATTATAGCGAATTTAAAATAAAAAATAAACTCATTAAAACAGAGGACAAACATATACATAATCTCTTAAATAGAAAATAATCTAATTATCTAATTAAAAAAAGGAATAGCGCAAGATTAAAAGGCTGTAATAAAAAATTGGGAACCACGAGATCTCGAGAAACCTAGTTTTTAGTTCATGAATTCTGTGAGGATAATGGGATTTGGTTATTCTATAATTGTGGGATCTTGTTAGTTACATGATCATGGGAGAAGCTCATGTGTCATTCTCCCTAAGTAGGATGCATGTTCTTTATTTTTTTTAGGCTTTTTAATCTATCTACCACCATCACAAGTTTATTGTGTTTCTGCTGTTGGGGGAGCCCAATTAGTTTTATTTTTGTTTGAAATTAGATTTTGATTTTGAAAAATAGTTTGATTTTGAAAATAAGACTGCATAGATCTAGAATAATTGATTGTTTAAATAATCGAAGACATTACAAGTAATATGTCATATCGAAAGATTAAATATCACTTAATAATGGGTTCAATTATTAAAACTAAGAAATTTAGGTCATTTGTTTGGTCTGCAAAAATACCAACATATATTTCCCTTATCTACTCCAAAAATTAGATAGTGTTTTGATTATATGGGCTACTAATTTTTTTTTAGGGGCAAACCCCTATATTTAATTACTTCTAAAGAAATTGAAATCACTTAAAAAAACTCTCGATTAAGTTTGGGGTAATGTCTTCAAGAATTCAAGTTTAGTTTTCATAATTGATTATAAAAAAAATCAAATGGGAAAGACTTAATGTGAAACAGTTATTTTTGTAACCAAAACGAATGAAAATGTATGAGATGAAGAAGATACCAAAGAAACATATATGACATCTCAAACTAACCTATGGTTTAACTTTACATTTTTTTAAAGACAGGTTACTTAATATTCAATTACACAATTTATTTAAAAATTTAGTACTTATATTGCACGACGTAGATATTTATCTCATCTTTGTTGAGGTTGGTTTGTTTCCTTTTTTATAGTGTAGAATATAGTCATAAGTCTTCTCTATTGAATCTCTTAGAGGACTAGTATTGGGACCCTCACCACTTATAAATTCAAACAATTTATTGACTCTTTGTAGTCTCGTATGTGTGGTTTCAAATTCTCAACATTTAATTGAATTAATTAAAACCAACGTATTGAAACTCGAGTTAAGTTCCTATAATGATTACAAATGCCTTAAGAAGCTCAATTAGACTTAGGGTTTCAATCTTTGAAGCACCACACACATCCACACATACATGCACCACATACACATTCACACACAGAAACACTACAATTCACATCACCTACACTTACAACTCACACACATCCAAAACAAAAAGAAAACGAATCAATCTTTAAATTGAATCCCCACACATTTTAAAAAAAAAATTCAAGACCCAATGAATGCATTTTGACAACAAACTCAAACCCACTTACAAGCCACAAAATTTGATCCTCTCATAAACCACACTCCATAATTGATGTCTCCATGTTAGCTCACCACATTCACGGGTCTAAATCAAATTAGCCATGAATTAAATCAAATCCCACAAAGTCAATTTTGGAAGTCCACCACCATAGATTCAAAATGCCCAAAACCCATAAAATCTAAGCTTAAGCCCATCAAGCCATGGATCCAAGTCTATGAACCAAATGCAAGATCAAATTTAAATCAAAGACCAATTCCTAAGTCTCTTGGCCAATTATTTAAATTGGGTCTCAAGACAAATAAGACTAATTAGCTCCCTTTTTTAGCCAAGTCCAAAAATTTTTTGTTTTCTTACCAAGCTGGAGACCTAATTCCATGCCAAAGCCAAACCCACATTTCCACAAGTGACACTTGACCAAGCCCAAGCCTCCATGAACCCTAGTCCTTATCATGGGAGAGTACAACCCATATTTATGATAAGAACTAAAGAGGAGCCCAAAATAAGCAAGTTTTAATTCCGTCTAAAATCAACCAACATGCCCATGTTACCTCCCCATCAGCTTCTCCATGCATCATCATTGTCCTCACATAAGAAGATGGTGACTGTCTTAAGCCCTTCCCATTCAACCATGAATGGCAACGAGGGCTTATCCTAGAGCCACACCTTTACCTCAAAACTCGTAATTGAACCCTTCCAAGGCAACTCATCATCACTAGCTTACCTCCTAAAGCTCCACCTAAGTATCTGTTTGAAACCCTAAGTTAGCTTGTTGGAGCTCCACCCCGCTCCCATGCCCCTGACCTATAAATATGGTCTGTTCTCACCTAAAAAGGAAGTGTGTAGAAACCTTTGCGAAGCCGCACTAAAATTCCCCCAAACCCTCCTACAACCCTTATCGACCCTTCCTCATTGATCCCAAGCCATTTCCCCCCTCACAAAGCCCAAAATTCACCTTTGAATTTTTGGACATGTCAAGGGCTTGACACAAAATATTCTAAAACTCCAATTCAACCATCCCAAAAGCTTCACCGAAGCTCGCAATCACCTCCCTCGCTCAACATACCCTTTTCTCGCAGCCTTCAACATAGCCTTAAACCAAGCTCGAGCCACCATTGGTCTACGTCATAACTAAACCCATCCACAGAGCAAGTTGGAGGGAGGAGGAGGTGCACAACATCAAGGTGAAGCTTCTCAACCATTCCAATCGAGACAACTTGTAGAGTTTTATTAGGCTCAAACTCAAGCTCTTCGAGCTCAAGCCTTAGTTGGAACTCACATGAACTCAACATGCTTGGCTCATTTTAGCATTCCCTTATCGAGTTCAAACAAGCTTATAGCTTGGTTGGACACTTTTATACCACTAATCTTAAATAATAAATAAAATAATTTCACAATATTTGATTTGCAACAAACCCAACAACTCATAATTTTAAAATGGATAGTGGCAAGATTACTACAAGAAGTAAAGGTTTTTATGTTCGAGAAGAATTTCCGCTAAAGAGAAATCCTATTAAATTACTTTACATATTTTAAACCTAAAAGAAAAATTAGATGCAAAACATATGAAACATTAATATTTATAAAAGGATCAATCAAATAATTATTTCGAACCGCTAAATCGATGCATTTATGCATGTCAAGTTTCATTTTACAACTTACACAAACCTCAAATAAATTTTACTTTCTCCTATTAAAGAGTAATTGGAGCTAAAGTGGCTTCAAGGTTAATTAGTCGGGAAATTTACATACATACCCACACAATACTTAATATTGTCAATCTATTTTAATAGATACTTAAAATTTACTTGGGCTGGGCTTTTTGTGGGCTAGCCCGGCAGCTCGACAAATCCCGCGGCAACCCAGACCCCATCCCTATCTTTCATTCGGAATGCCGTGCCGAAGTAAAATTAAAAAAAAAAACTCTCATAGCCCTAAACCCTCATCTCAAAATCAAAGCCTTGGTGCTCCTAAATTCAGCCGCCTTCTTTCTCCCGCTGTTGCAGCTTCGCCCACCTCACAAGTCGCTTGCTTTTTCACTCCTTACAATCCGATCTCTCCACCGGATCATCAATCTGTCGTCTTGTTGATGATATGCTGCACAGTTCCTTCGCAAACTCGAGATCACGAGGAATCGGATTGCAGGGCTCCAGAAACTTGATTAAGTGAATCGCTTCCTCTCCTTTCGCTTCTCTGTTAGCGAATGGAGAGGCTGCAGATTCTTAGGAATAGTTCCATCGAGTGGACTCCTTCGGCGGTGGTTGCTCTCGCCACAAGCGACGATGGCTCGCAGGTGGCCGCTGCAAGGGAGGATGGATCCGTAGAGATTTGGCTTGTTTCCCCCGGCTCTGTTGGCTGGCATTGCCAGTTGGTATGATTTTTTTTTGCTCTCTTTTATTGGCTGAGCATCTCTTGGGCTATAATTCATCCGTTTGGTTGCAGACCATCCATGGGAATCATGGCTCCAGAGTTTCTTCAATGGTTTGGTTACCTTACCGTTCAAAGAGTGGAGGGCGAGGTCGTTTGCTGTCTTCCAGCATTGATGGATCTGTTTCAGAGTGGGATTTCTTCTCGTTAGCGCAGAAGGTTTACCAACTTATTTTTTGTGATTTTTTGTGCTTTTAGTTTGAGTTTACTTGATTTTCTTACATGATACACCTGTCAATTGAGTTTACACATATGGTATTTAGGATTTGATTTTTTTCTTTATTTTTTTAATTTTTCCATATTTTATAGTAAGTTTTCTCTTTTTTTGTTTATCTGGAAGCTCACTCAGAAATTGGTGGCAAGAATTCCTACTTCATGCTGATGTGGTTTGAGATGCACGTAGCTTGTCATTGTGAAACTGGGTTTATTTTTTTCCCTCGGTGTTTAAAAAGCAGCAAATAGAATTGAAAAAAGCAACAAAGCGGATGCTGAATAATTCGTGCTAGAATGAAAGCTGACCGGAGTTATGCTAACATACCATCATTCTTATTAATGCTATTCATATGATTCTTGTTAATGCATGCACCACCTCAAGTTTGGTTGGCCTAACCTGAGGATTTTGCTTGGTAACTTTTGTCATGAAGTTCTCAACGGCTACTAGTGCGATAGTTAAACCAATTAATTGATGAGAGAATATACACTTGTTATTTGTAAAAGATGTAACATTTTCTTACGGTGGATGTTGTAAGTTTTAATTTTTTAGGGCATTTACATACATACCGCACAAAGCTCATATATTTACATATCTATCACCAAACTTTCATACTTACATGCATAACATTCAAGTTTTTGACATACATAAAAATACCACAATCACTGACTTTTTAGAAGTGAAATGCAACTTTTTATGAATGGGCTAAGTGTTACAAAATGTGAATTTCAAACTTTAGGTGTTAGATATGCAAATGCATAAAAATTGTGTGGTATGTATGTGAATTTTTTTTTCTTATACTCTTTGATGTGGTGTCATGGCTGAAATTTGATTATGCTTTCGAGAAATTGTTTAAATGTTGTAATCCACTGTGTAGGAAACCTTGTGGCCTCAGGTCACAAACTGCATTTCATGGTACTTGTAGTGGAAATGGAAGTTTGTTTTAAGTTGTATTTTTTTTTTCATAAATTTGGTTGAAGATTTATTTAACCTCTTCCTGTTGTATAACTTTTCTGAACTTTATCTCAGCGAGCATGATTATTTTACATTTTGGTGATTGAATTTGAGTTGCATTGAGTTTTTATTTATTTTTGGAATTTATCAATCTGTTGAGAATGTTGTGTTGCTTTATTAATAGTTGATGACCTCTTTCATACCATATTGGCGTACTTTAAATTTTTTTACCCTCACACATTTTGCATATTCCCCATGTTTTGTGAGTAAATATGATCCCTATACTATTTTGTTCTACCCCAAGCTTTATTTACTCCACATATGATTGAGACTATTTCCTAATCTTTGTGCTACGAGGATGTAATCTCTAGTCTTTTTTAAGCTTTTTTTATATAAAATTTCAAAAAAACTAGTTTTTTTTTTCACTCCTCTTCATAGGGAGTCCTGGTAGCCGCTATCATGTTTTTAATTTAGATTTATATGCATGACTTGAGAAGTAGAGAGGGATTTTAAGTCATTTTCTTATATTAATGAACCTTTTGGAGATGATTTATTGCATTTTATTGATTTCATTTGTGTGTTTGCTTTTGGACAGGAAGATCAACAATTGTCTTGTAAATTTTCTGATGGACAAGTTTGCTGAACTAATTGTTAATTATATTAAAGTTTTTTGATACGATATGTTTACTATTTTTTGCTGTTTATAGCTATTAGATAAATGACCTGTTGTAAGCATTTTTGTAATATCAACTCGATATGATTTATCACACTAGTTTTAGTTTAATGAGATATTGTTTCATTTGAATTTTTCTGACTGTTACATGTATCATGTTCTTTTGGTTTCTCTTAGATAGTACTCGATACCATTGGCGTATCCATCTGGCAGATGGCCTTACAACCAATCAATGATTCATTTCATTTTGGGGGAAAAGAATTACAACCTTTACCAAATGGAAATACTTATCAAGATGGGGATAGTAATTTTGATTCTTCTTATTCCGACGGCGATGAAGACCCTACTGAACTAAGTGCTGCAATTATTGGGAACAAAAATTTGCACTTGGCCCTTGCATGCGATGATGGCTGTGTGCGTTTATATACTGTCGAGGAAGGAAATATAACTTACAAAAGGACTTTCCCTAGAGTCAGTGGTTAGATCTCTGCTTTATGCCTCATCATTTATAGTTTATGTTTGAATAAATATTATTACATATCTTTCTTCTTTTCTTATATTAGGACGCACACTAAGTGTTGCTTGGAGTCTCGATGCAAAGTTTTTGTTTTCTGGGAGCAGTGATGGGTAAGTTTGTAATTTAGTCATTGCAATTATTCGTGTTTAATGTGTCAAAGTTGATGCTTTTTTTTATTGATCAAGCTCTCCACTTCCCAATTTTATCCATTTTTTTATTTTATATTTATTTCATACAATTATTTTTATTATTGCCACTTTTTATTTCATAATTTATTTTGTTCCAGTGTCATAAGGTGTTGGGACACATCATCATTCCGTGAGACCTACCGTATTACTGTGGGGCTTGGAGGGCTCGGAAGTGGATCGGAACTCTGTGTATGGTCTTTACTATTCTTAAGGTTGAAAAATTCTAAATATTATAGTGATTAGTGATGAAATTTTTCTTGAAAGTGATTCTTAATTTTGTTATTAATTTATTGTTGTTTTAAATCAAACTATATCAGGTGTGGAACCCTAGTTAGTGGAGATAGTACTGGTAGTGTTCAGTTTTGGGACAGTAGACATGGAACCCTACTGCAAAGTCATACTTATCATAAGGGTGACGTTAATGCTTTAGCAGTTGCTCCAAACCACAATAGATTGTTTTCAGCTGGTTCAGATGGCCAGGTATATGATTTTTCAAATTGCATCCTCTCTTTTTCCAGTTTCATCAACTTCTTGTGTAATTGTGGATGTTACAATGTTTTTGTTCATTCGACTTGAGCACAAGTAATTATATTCTAAACTTGAAGGTTAGTAAATTTCTGAATTTTAACTGATTTGAATTTGATATCAATATGCTCTGTCTTGAATATGACACTCTAAATTTAAGCTCTATCCAATTTGAACTTAGCTCGATAAATTACATACATATATTTGTATGTGTGCTAAGACATATACATAGGTATGCAAATATTTACATCACACATAAATATAACATTGATTTGCATTTATGCATCTATTTTTAAGAACATTGATACTTTACTTTTTGTAAATAAATTTTAAATACTTTGTACTGATGATAATCTTGATTGGTGATTAAATATTTAAATTTGTAGTTTTCGGATATTCCAAATCAAAGCCCACCCCGAAATTGATAATTGTTGACTCAAATTGAATTTGGATTGAGCCTAAATTGATATATTTACGTTTAGTCATCACACTTAAATTCAACTCGATTTTCCCCTAATTAGTTGTTTAATTTTTGTTTATTTTTTTACATTCTTATTGTAACAAGATTTGTGTAATACCCAATTTTGTTCAATTTAGTAAATTTTCAATAATTTTAAAATAGATACATCTATTTTTAAGAACATTGATACTTTACTTTGTAAATAAATTTTTAATACTTTTTATTGATGGTGATCTTGATTGGTGATGAAATATTTAAATTATTAGACTTTACTTGTTACAAAACATAGCCCGCCCCGAACTTGATAATTGTTGACTTAAATTGAATTTGCATTGAGCCTAAATTGATATATTCAAGTTTATTTTTGTTTATTTGTTCACATTCTTATTGTAACAAGATTTTGTGTAATATCCAATTTTGTTCAGTTTAGGTATATTTTTAATAATTTTAAAATATTTGTGGGATGAAAGTTTTGTTGTTTTTGTATCCAACTTTGTTCACTTCATGTAAAATTTAATTATTTTAAAATATACCCAATTTTTCGCACCACTTGAAATGCATTCAAATTATTTTCATAAAATTTTCCATATTGCAACTATCAAAGTGATGTATAACACTATATATAAATTATCAATATATTTGATCTAAATCATTTAAAATAATATCTTAATTAAACTTAATTAATTACTTAATTGTAATTCAGGTTATTTATCCAACACTGCAATATTTCTACTTTATCATGTATGCAGCGTAAGGGTGAATTTTGGATGTATGTGATTTAAGCATTAATATTTTTTTATGTATACATATATATGATTAAAGTTTAGTACCTTACATTCTCTCTCTCCCGATTTCCCATCTTCAATTCTCTCACATCGAGATTGTTTCATAGTGGGAGAGGGGATCGCGATCCATGCGATCCCGTGTGGTGGGGAAGGCAAATTGATAGTTGGGCTCTCAATGACAACTGCCATGTGGAAGAGAGAAGGAAAAAAAGGAAATGGAAATGAGTAAGAAGCGGAGTAGAAAGAGAAAAGAGGGAAGGAGGACTTTTGGGGATAAATTAGTATTTTGAGTTAAAATATTCATATATATATTTTTTATTTTTAATCAAATAAATATTTATATTTATTTCAATCAATGTAGAAAATATTTATTTAATTGATTGTAGTTTCGTGTGTTTGTTTTTTGTTAACGAGAGACTGTAAATTTTGCATAAAATTATCAAATAAGGATTGTATTATTATGCGGGAAAATTTTTTCGAGGTACGAGCATTACTTTAGATTGTTGATATATTAAATTAGTGTTTGGATTAAGAATTTCTTAAAATCTTAAAAACTTGTTATTTACACAGGGGCTACCATGTCAATCTTGTTGAGATAATCATGTGTTAAATTAATAATTTCTTTTTTCTATATAATTATTATGTGATACATTGATACAAAATTATATTTAGATTGTTTTTGTATGTTATTGAATACTTGCATTTGTTAAATAAAAGCAAGTTTCAATATACACTACCTGTTAAACAAATATTATTTTTATTGAATTGGTGAACTACTAAGCCAATTGTTTACAAATATGCTTATACAATTATATATGTATATAAAAAGGATCTTTAATAGATAAAATGATTAAATGAATGTCACAAATATTATGATATACTTTTATATTGATGAACTACGCTATCCCTTCTCCAAATCTTCTCATCTCCGATCCTCAACCACCAAATTCTCCCTCTGTCCCCCCTACACCTCCCTATAGACTACTACTGCTATCCCACCTTCCTATCTCCGTTCAAGCTCCTCCCAACCACCCCATTACCGCTGCCGACCACCAACAACTCTTCCCACTTGTTGTTCCAACAGTACACCTTCCCCTAGCTGCCACGAGCACTCTGGGTCGTCACCACCCCCGCTAGCCATCTCTACCCATCTCGCTGATCTTCACCACCCATTGAAATATAATTAGGAGTGTTTGCTTGTGTCGTTTGTGTGTTTGTGTTGTTATTTTTGTTCGAGTCATGTTATTATCTTATTTTAATATTAATGAATTTTTTTTTTGTGTTTCCCACTATTTGCTGTACTAGTTCCGATATCATTTGGTATCAAAACTAGCTTTACCTTAGTCTCATCTTAGGTTCCCAAACATCCGCCCCTACCCGAGCCACTTCCACTCAAATATTTTCTTCTGATTCCCAACTTTAGCCATGCCACCACGAAGAGGTCCATCTAATCCGTCGTCTACAACGAAGACTAGCAGAGCTGGATGACGAAAACCAAAAGAGGTTACCTTCGTCTGTGATCTAGAGAGTCAAAGTGAAGCAAGTACTAAGAGATGAATCTGTTCCGCAAGGAAGATAACAGTGAGGAGGAATTTTGACCACGCCATTTTGATATCCAATTCCAAAGGAGACTGAGAGAAGAAGCTCCTTATGGAGGTTAGCGGACTTTGGCATCAAGATGAACCTTCCATAATTTGAAAGATGTATGGATCCTGATGAGTTTATTGACTGGCTGCAATTAGTCGAACGGATTTTTGAATATAAAGATGTACCAGAAGACAAACGGTCAAGCTGGCTGCTGTTAAGCTGAAGAAGAGCGCTTCCCTATGGTGGCAAAATATGCAGAGGCAGAGGAAGACGGAAGACAGTGAAAAAATCACTAGGTGGGAGAATATGAAGAAAGTAATGTAGAAAAAAGTACCTCCCACCTTACTATATCTAGGATATGTTTCTAAAGCTCCACAACTTGCAACAGGGGGATTATTCAGTTGAAGAGTTCACTGCCCAATTCGACCACTTGCAGATGAAATGCGAACTGACAGAGCCAGAGGAACATACAATAGCGAGATATGTCATGGATTTGAAACTTGCCATCAACAATGTGATACAGTTGCAACAATACTGGGCGCTAGAGGATGTCTAGGCATTAGCCTTGAAGGCGGAAAAACAACAAAAGCAGAGCTGACAACAATTATCTTTCAAGCAGCAGCTTTCATGCAGGCTGCCACCTACAATTACCACGACAGGGTTATCTCAGAAGACACAGGCAAGCCCGAATAAGGGAACGACACTACAGATCAAAGCGCGAAGAAACATGAAAAGGGCAACTCCTCCAACACAATGTTGTCCAGGAAGTACTAACGATGCCACGACTACTACCACATTGCCTCCCACTGCCCTACGAACAGGGTAGTCAAACAAACACATCAAGGCGCTGTAGTAGAAATTAGCAATGAAGAGAAAGCCGAGGAACATGAGTATCAACTTCCCCCAGTTGAAGGAGAGGCGCTTATGATTCGACATATCATGCAGACTGATGATACTTGGGATTCACAGTGGCTTCGCCACAACATATTTTACACCAGCTGCACTGTAAAGGGAAAGACATGTAGTCTAATCATCGACGGCTAAAGGAGCAAGAATGTGCCATCGACTCAGATGGTTGTAAAATTGGGATTGAAAACTTAGATACATTCCCAAGCATATTCACTGACGTGACTAAAGAAGGAGAATGAGGTCATCATCGTTCGAAGATGTTTGGTAGAATTTTCGATTGGATGTTAGCTGCATGACCAAGTGTGGTGTGATGTGGTCCTTATGAATGCTTGTCATCTTTTATTGGTTGTTGGACAACCTTGACAATATGACTGAGGGACTCAACATGATAGATATAAAAACACGTATTCCTTCACCAAGGATGGAAAACACATCACCCTCCTTTCTTCGGTGGAGTCCGAGGTTACAGGACCCCTTTTCAACTGAATGGCGTCAGTGGAACCGATTTTAATGATAACAACAGACGAGAAGACAGAGACACCCGCCCCTGATACAGGAAGATATGACAAAGGTTATGTCAGGACGACATCGTACCAACAACACCATAGCCATGTGAGAAGGGTCTGACTACTCTCACTGTGCGTGCAATTGAACTGATCTTAAGATACTCTGGGAAGATTCACCGATATAAGCGTGGTGCACGACCTCCAAAGATCATATCGATATGGACATTTACTCGTATGATTGGGAAGACCCTTATATATCGCCAGTGGGATTCAGGTTGGCCGACAACAAAACGAAAGCTTCAACTAATAAAGTAGGAGATTGACGCGGGCATAGAATAGTGCCCGAAATTGGGTTCTTAATAGCGCCTGAAGCAGGGCGCTCCAGCGGGGCCAAAGCCCCGCTCGAAATTGTATGATACAGCGCGAAGCCTCACGTGACACGAGAAACTCCTGCCCTCGCAGGTGTGGGAAAACCCGCATCAGGGAAGGAAATCGTGAATTCTTGCGATCCAACCAGGCTATTAACACTAGTTCTTTTATGGGAAGTAATTTCTGGTTTCCTCTTGGCTTCCCTTTGTGTAGAAGTTTCTCTTAAGCCTATAAATTATTGTCTTTTTTGTATGTGGAAGTAAGATTTGAGTTGTGTTAGAGTTCAGATTGTGTCATCTTCATATCTCCTATATGGATTCCATTTCCGTTTTGTAGGTTGTATCCCAGGAGATGGTGGTGCTCCGACTGTATTCTTCTGTGAGATAATGATTGTATCCTTCTCTTTTACCTTCTCCAAGCCTTCTCTCTGCTCAACCACCAAACTCTCCCTCCGTGACCACGACACCAAACCATTACCTCCCTACAGATTACTACTGCTATCCTGCTTTCCTAACTCCGTTCAAGCTCCTTTCAACCATCCCATTATCGCTGCCGACAACCAACAACCTTTCTCAGTTCCCACTTGTTGTTCCCATCATTTCGCATCTTCACCTCATTGCCACCAGCACTTTGGGTCTTCATCATACCCGCTAGCCATCCCCACCCACCACCGATCTCCATCATCCATTGAAACATAATTTGGGGTGTTTGCTTGTGTTGTTTGTGTGTTTGTGCTGTTATTTCCGTTCAAGTCATGTTGTAATTTTATTTTAATATTAATGAAAGTTTGTTTTTTTGTTTCCTATTATTTTCCCTACTAGTTCCGATATCACATGTTAACTCTGTTTAGTAATTAGCCATTTTTGCTTAATATTGATGTGATATTAAATATTGCTTAATAGTTACTTATTACGATAGGTTTTTTTTTCTTAATATTAACATCATATGAAAAAAATAACTCTTTTCCCTCGCATAATTTTATCCGTCAATTAAATATTTTTTTCTCCTTGCTTATTTTAAAATTTGCTTTTATTTCTTTTTCGTTTATCTGCTTTTGATCGCATAATATTGTTTGTTTTAGAAGATAAGAACATTTACTTTATTTTAACCAGTTGTTGCAGCATTGTCAACTTCAATTCTTTTTAATATTTTTCTTGTAGAGTTAAACTCAATAATTATCACTAAAAAGCTTAGTTTTTTTTGGTCATACACAATGTGTTGAGGAGGATAGTTTCTCATTTGGTCACGAAATTACATGATTGGAAACTTGAATCACGGTGGAATCAGTTAGCTAATTATGATCCTAGGAATTTGTTTGTTTGGCCTTGCTGTACTGTTTTATTTATTGCTGTTTTATTTTCTTGATTATGGTGAATTGATTTTTTAACTACATGCCATCATAATTCATCTGATTAAGTATTCTTTTATTGTGCTTATAATGCTTACTAAACACCTTGTCTTTTCAGTTCTGAAGTTCTGACACAACATTTGCTTCTTAGGGTGCCTACTAATGTTTTGAAATCATTTAGGTTATTCTCTACAAGCGCTCCGGTAATGCTGTTGATTTGGGTAAAGTTAATAAGCCTTTAGTGGATCATTCTCACAACTGGATATATGTTGGTTATGTTAGAGTTCATACCCATGACGTGAGGGCCTTGACGGTGGCTGTTCCTATTAGTTCAGAAGGTCAGTCTCATTCAGCTATTAGTATACATAGACATGTGTGCCTATCAATGATAATTTCTTTTTTTATCTGTGACAGCTTCTTCTCCTAATGAAAAGTCATTAGGCAATGTACGACATAAGGATAGATCTATAAATTTTACTTACCATAAATGGGCACACTTAGGGGTCCCCATGCTTATTTCTGGAGGCGATGACACCAAGTTATTTGCTTACTCTGCCCGGGAGTTCACACAATATTCTCCTCATGATATCTGTCCGGCACCTCAACGCATGCTTCTGCAAATTGTGCCTTCTACAGTCTCTGATGGAGCTTCTGTTTTACTTGCACAACATGGAACACAGCTGGATTTGTTGCTTATAAAATCAAATCATGGTGAGCCACTTAGAAGAAGCAAAGCAATCACCCAATTTATAGCTCATGTTAAAAGCAAGGAATCTAGAAAAATCATTTCTAGTGCCATATCCAATTCTGGTAATCTTTTTGCTTACTCTGATCATGTGAAGCCTTGCATTTTTGAACTGAAGAAGCCGAAATCCAGAAAAAGTGGTTGGTCTATAACCAAATTACATCTACCTCGACGATTGCCATATGCTCATTGTATGGTTTTCAGTGTTGACTCCTCGAGGTTGATGTTAGCCGGTCATGACAGAAAAATTTATGTGAGTTGTTTAATGAATTTGGTTGTGGTATTGTTCAACTTATCCAATTCCTGAATAAAGAAGAGGAAAAAAGTTCTTTTTGAATTTGGTTTATTTGACAGTCTTAGCCTCAAAATTTGGCTGGTGATGCATGTTTTTTTTAATCGTAATGCTTTTATATGTTTATATTGTGGTGGTATTAATTTGTACCTCAACACATTTTTTTTGGAAAACTAGGTTTTGGATGTTAAGAGTTCAGAACTAGTGCATACTTTTTTGCCTCAAGGAAAGGATGGTGACGTGAGCTCAGTACCTCAGGAACCTTCTATAACGAGGATGTTTACTAGTTCTGACGGGCAATGGCTAGCTTCTGTCAATTGTTTTGGCGATATTTATGTTTTTAATCTCGAGACATACAGGCAAGTTCTCATTGTCACTTGAACAGTGCTTTGTGAAGCACATAACCTCTCTCTCTTTTTTTTTTAATCAACAATTTGTTAAATCATGTACCAAATCACTAGTTTTTTACAAGCTTTATTCTGTTGAGGTTTCACCATAGTGGCTTTGCTAACCACGACTCGTTTAGTCTAAAGCAGTGTAATTTTCTCATATTTTATTTTGTTTGTTGTTATTTTACATGTTTAAAGAAGATTTAGATTGAAAAATCTTTGGCATGAATTGCCCTTTGTTCTAAATATTGCTTACACCAATCATCGAGTAAAGTCTGAATGCATGTGTAAGAGCATTTTATGTAATCACATTATTTGATGGAAAAGTAGTGCCCAATTACACAGATGTTAATTCTAAGTATTTGTCATCTATTTCATGTTGCAAGGCTTCTTGTACAACAATCATATAGGTGGTTTTGTCTTATCTTTTAGGTGTTTAAAACCAGAGTGCCGAGTAAAGAATGTCGTTTCCAGGAGCAAGTTCATATTCTTCCTTGATAGAGCCAATATGGGCTTTTGAATGTCCCAATTGATGTTGCAGGAGATAAAAGTATAAGAGAAAAGGGAGTTCACCGGAGGTTTGGGAATTTTGAGATTAGAGGATAAAAATGATTCGGGTAAAATTTAAAGTGATTCTAAGATAACTACACCTAGGGTATCCTATTTAAAGAAAATAGAATTTTATTTAAATTTAAATGAAACTAATCATATTTTACTTGACTCGAGCCCTGCTAGACAACTCCAATTCAAACATAAGATTATTTGTAGGATAATTCAATCTAATTAAAAGAGAATAAATATATGGATCATAAATTAAATTGAATAATGAAATGCGATCAGGTATCATGACCTAGTTTGGTTAACTTTAAGCTTGGTCAAAACTTTAATCCTTGATTTGGGCTTCTATGTTTCGCCAATTTCTTGGGATTAAAATAATTACCCTATGAAGAGCCATAAGTGCAGAATTTGTCAAAATGTTTGCCATTAACTATGCGAACTAAACTTTTGTGATTTAAAAATCTTTTGTTGAAGTTTGATTCATCTGACAAATAGGATAAATATTCATTTTTGAAGTACTTGTTGTAGTTTCGTTTGTAATAATTTAGCTGTCTTGGCATTTAGTGTAATGATTGCTGGTGAACTATAGGAAAATAACATTATTTATCTAAGTAGAAGCTCCACCTACTGAAACTCTATCAACATGCATAATAGGCTCGAAAATACCTCGATAAGGTATTAGATCTTTAATATTAAGAATTGGGCGAAAATCAAAATTTTAAGGTAAGTTAAATCATATAAATAATTGAAATCAACTTTTAAATATGTTTTCTTTTTTTTTACATTTTCTTGTATATAACTTTAAATGTTTGCTGGGGCAAAACAATTTGGTTTATGATCTTATTATTTTGTGTTTCAATTAGGGTTCACGGATTAGGTTCAAGTCAAACGTGAAAGTTGACCGGACCCAAATATGCTTGATTCGAACCTAATATATTTATTGAATATTTTAAAATATTTGACTTGAATTTGACTTGAACAGAACTCATCTAGCTTCAAGCTGACTAATCTAAATTTATACATATATAAATCATGCCATGACTCCAAACAGACATGTTTATGATTCAAGCCTGCTCACTCAAACTCAAATAGTAATTTGGTTAATTTCTGGTTGATTTTAGTATATTCTAGTTAATCCTAATATAATATGAATAATAATACGGTTTGTAATTTATGCTCAAACTTGATTCAAATAGTGATCAGGTTAATGTGAACTTTGATTTTTTGAGTTTAGTTTAGATCGGTTGTTTGGTTGGGTCATATATTGACACCATGACTTACAATGCACATTTATAGAAAGGTTAGGTCTAGGAGGGGCTCATTTAAATTCATTTGTTTTTTCTTTACAGATATTTTCATGCTACTAAAGCTTCGGGGAAAATGCTCCTTTTAATGCTGTAGGATGTTATGCATGTACCTCAACATAAATGCTAGACGCGGGTTCATTTATAATTTTTTTTTAATTATCCTATTATTTTTTTAACTAATGATCTCGATTTAAGTTCCATAGATTGATTTATATAGTTGTGCTAATGGAGCCTTCGGCATAGGCTATGGAATTGGTTACGCAATCGTCCCTTGTCTCTACATCCAATTAAAATGTATATTAGGCATACCTACGATTGAAAGAACAATCAATTTTGATTTTTATACAAAGTTCATCATGATTATTAACTCTTTGTTGATGTTGACCATGTTTATGATGGTTATCGTAGTTTCTCTGAGATTTGTGAAGTGCTAACATGTTTTCTCAGGAGAAAATATAAGAAAAATATTTCATTTTTATCAATAAAGTTTCTCAAGGAAAAGTATCAGGAGAGTATCTTATTTGACAACCTGAGGACTGGTTTGTGTGTGTTGAATGTTTAGTGATTTTTAAATTTGTAGGCACTCTATGATGAGTCTTTCATTTGCCTTGAATTGTGCGTTAACTTGCTATGCCAAGGCATTTAACTCCCTTTTTTGTAGTAAGCAACATGTTTTGCTATGATTTATGTTGTGTTTAATTTAAGTATGCGCCTGTTAACACTATAGCAACTGCAATTGTATTTTTTCAATTCTGATTGTAATTTGTGCATGAAATGAGAAACTCAGAAATATGTTAAAAAAATTTTAAGTTTTTAATTAAGTTCTTTTTAGAAAGTTTGCTAAATATTCCCAATGACTTTGTCAAGGTCAATAAACAATTGATAAATAATTGTAAACTTGTGGTGGATTAAATAGTTTGTGTGCAATATGGTGGGTGATGCAGGGTAGTAACCAACATAAAAAAAATTATAATTTTCGAACAAACTTTTTATATTAATTTAGTCTAGAGTTTTAAAGACTATTCTACAAATCAGTGTAGGGATATTTAAATGATGAAATTTTTGTCCATCACTGATGGCATATGTCAAATGTATCTGTACATTGGTGTCACAAACCTACTTGTGATAATACATGAATTCTTCTATAAGAAAAGCAACAATTATTCCAATTTTTCTTAGAGAATATCAAATACATGACAGGTTGAAAGACACAATTTTCAAGCAGGGTAGAATGATACAAATTTGAAACTTTGTATACATCGGAAACACAAGTTTCGTGGCTTGAGATGAATAAATTGTTATTCCAAGTTTTGATGTTAGTTTAACTGTTTTATTATAATTATTTGGTTATGCTGTATGTCTATGATGATGATTTTATAGTGAATGGGCTGTATTTTGCGGTTTGGTTTTGTTCGCTTTGTGAATTTTTGTGGTTGCTTTCCTTCAGATTTCTGTGTTTTTGTCTCTGCTGCTAGAATTTCTGTATTGCCAGGATTCAGGATATGGGGATCATAGGATTAGCACTACAGCAATAAAGAATCTATGCTTTCCAACTGCTCTCTATTTTAATTGTTGAGTTATTTTGCTTAGTAGCTAAAAATAAACTTGTTAAGTATTATTGAAATTGAACGATTTTGGGAAACCATTTGTTATTGGATTTTTTGGGATTTTTTGAAAAGTATTAGTATGGGGGTTTCTATAGTTAGTTGATCTTAAGCGAAATAAAATTTTATCGCGCTGTTTAATAAATTTAACTTTGCGCTCAAATTTATGCTCAAGCTGCTCGGTGCAAATTATTGAAATGTAACAACATATACGATCCATAGCAAAAATCAATATGATTCTCCACAGAAATTAGGGCGAAATAGATTTATTATTTCAATAAGTCAAATAATTCAATGAGAATACAAGATAAGACGTACAATTTGAGAGTTAGGCGATTTCTCCCAATTCCTATAATTTGAGAGGCAAGAAATCTCTTCTAAAACCTAAATCTAAGACTTGCAACTCAATCTCATGCATCAAAACTAACCCTAAACTTAATAAGACTATTTATATCCAACAATAATAATAATATGACTAAATTGTCCTTAGACTGTTGCTTCATCAAGTTAGGTGGCTTCCCCCGAAGTCATCATGTGACCGTCTTTTTCATTTAATCAGGAGAGTTCGAAATGTAGTTTTGTGCACATCCTTTGTCTGCATCTAAATCAATTAGTGGTCTGATTTTTAATCAATCTTAAAGAATATCACAACCCGAAATAGCTCATCCCGTGGCTTATCGATCACTAGAATTTTTGTCAACTCTGTCTCATGTGTCTTCCATCTTTGTCAACTTCAATCCTTCTTGCTTTTGTTTGTTCAAGCAATTCAAATGTCATATTATTTCTTCGAAGTGTTGCGACTTGATTTTGCTCCTGGTTTCGTTACTACAGCTCGCAATCCGCCTAAAACTGTGAAATTGCCCTCATGTCGTGCGAATCCTTTTGGTTGCTGCAGGAGTTCGTTCCCGACATCATCTCTCGACCCTGTGACGGGCCGAGCCAATTTTATGTGGAACTCTACTATCTTCTTCATTATTTCTTGCATTTCCCTTATGCTCTCAAATCCGCCCTCCATTCGGCTTTCTATGGGAGAAAACCTATTTTATATGGCGACGAACCTTCTTCCATCTCAAAGCTGATTTGACTCACAATTTTCTCTAATTTTTCTTCTGAAGCATTTATTTTTTTTACGAACATTACTTCTTGTAGGGTTTCAAAATTTGTGATCCTGTGGTTGGCTTCCCAGCTAGCTTGAATCTCAAGAGGAATGTCGTAATTCTGTTGTTTGCTTCCCAAATCACGATAGGTTCCGTCTCGAGGATGCTTGTCCTGGTCGCTGAATTTAGGGATCTTAGGTATTTATTGTCTCATGACTGGACACCGTCATCCCGTTAGTGTATCGCGAGGACAGAGTGGAAGTAGAAAGATGGAAGCTTGTGGTCTATGTGCGCTGCAATCCCCACGTGGCAATCTCTGTTAGCTCTAATCTTGGCTTTTTTGCAAGGATAGGGAGAAAAAGAAGAAGGATCTGAGTTACAGATCCTCGGTAGGTTGTGATCCCACTGAAGCCTTCCCTATTTAGCTATGTATTTCGCGACTCCTTCATGTTAGGGCCTTCCCAGCTCGCTTTGATTGTGATTGCATGCAAATAGTGCAGGAGGAGGCGAATGAGGGAGTTTCGGGTCTCAGTAAGCCGCAATCCCTTTGTCTCTTGCCTTGCAGTGGCTGTACTCGAAAAAAAAAATGGGAAGAGATGACACTACTTACGTAAGACGCGATCCTGTCGTCTCCTTCCCCGCGCTGAACTTGCGACACTGCTGCAGGATGAAGCTAGAGGAGGAAAAAGCCAGAAGTTATAATTTTTTGTATGTTGCGATCAAGTCAAGGCCTTCTTTGCTTGAATCTGATGTCAAAGGTGCTTAGTCACGAAGGAACTTGTTATCTCTCAGAAACGTCGCAATGATACCAGTTTGATACGATCTAGAGCAAAAGTCAACACTATTCTTCACGTAAATTAGGGCAAAATAGATTTCTTATTTTAATAATTCAAACAACTTAATTAGGATACAAGATAAAAACCCATGATTCGAGAGGTAGATGATCTCTCCCAATTCTTATAATTCGAGAGGTAGAAATCTCTTCCAAAATTTAAACCTAAGACTGACAATTGAGTTTCATGCATAAAAACTAACCTTGGACATAATAAGCCTATTTATACCCAACAATAATAATAACAAAAGACTATATTGCTCTTAGACATACAAAAGACAAACTTGCCCTTAGACTGGCAAAAACGTAACACAACCTTTGGGGGAAGCTTTCTTATTGTACTTGTTTGTGGCTTGAATCTTCTTTAGTGATTTACTATTCTTATTCTTTTCATCTGTATATTCCATGATCCGTTTTCTATGTGTGGTTGACATTTGGTTAAATCTGTTGCTTGTATTTCTTAAATATCTGTGACTTTTGGGTGTGGCTTTTGTTCATTTTAAATTGCTTGCCAAAACTTAGGTTTTTGATGTTTTTTAAATTATCATTTGGAGTGAGCTCTACGGTTGTTTTTTGGGTTTGTATGAAAAAATGGTGACATTTTTTTTTACCAAAATAAGGGTTGATAGAATGTGAATTGTATATTTTATACGTTTGTTTTTGTGCATTTCATGTTACATCTATCAAAGGGGAAGCTTAGACCTTAAAACTTTTTATTTCATATGTATCATGTGTCCAATAAAAATCGGTAAAGCCAACATTGTACCTTTACTGAATGTTAGACTGCATTATGTGTGCGATAGACGACCCAGTGGATGGCTTGCAAAATATGCATGCTATTGTTTATCTTTTAGGTTGGGTAGTAAAAATGATTGAAGGGTGAAATTCATGATATTATAGTAAATAAATTAAATGACATAATTGGCCATTAATAAAATTGTTTTGATAGCTCATTTTGTTTCTCTTCATTGGCAGGCAACATTGGTTTATTTCTCGGTTGGACGGTGCTTCTGTTACCGCCGGAGGTTTTCCTCCGAGTAATAGTAATGTGCTGGTCATAACGACGTCTGTAAACCAGATTTATGTGCTTGATGTGGAAGCAAAGCAATTAGGGGAATGGTCAAGGCGACACAAAAACATTTTGCCAAGAAGATTTCAGGATTTTCCAGGGGAGGTTATTGGCCTAACTTTTCCACCTTGTAATTCAACATCGGTGATGATCTACAGTGCTAGGTACTTCGTTCTCTGATTGAAACTCTGCCTTTTTTCAATCTTTTGTGAAGAAAGAAAAACAAGCACAAGCCTTAATGCCATGCATAGCTTATAAAGGCTTGGGTGATTTTTGTGTAATGTTTCATTCCAAAAAATAAATTTATTTGAGATAAAAATTTCTTGCTTCTTGTGACTAAAAATGTTATATTGAAATTCTCATTTTGTTTTGTTTACATTTGATTACATTTATTTTACTTAATTTGCATACTAAACTTTCATGTCCCACCACCCACAAAAACATACACAGCATGAAACAGAAGGTTTGGTTTCCATTAAAAATCTGCACAAAAAACTGTCCATTTGGGCATTTACATGCCTACCTCCCAATTCTTATATATTTACATATCTAAAACATAAAATTTACTTTTTTGCATTTAGGGCCCGTTTTGGGCAGCTTATAAGTGCGGCGGCGTTTTTGAAAACGCCATCTAATCGTTTGATTTGCGCGTTTTTGAAAATGTTGTCTGCGTATTTGAGTTTTTTACACTAAACATAGGCCGTGGGTCGATGCCCGCGGTCGACCTGCAGGCCACATTTCAGGATAAGCTGTTTATCCTGAAACGCACAAGCTGCCCCAAACAGTAATGAAGTGTTATACTGCATTACTGACCTCATTCTTTCAGATCACATAAAAAAATTTTCACCATTTAAACTTTCACAAGGTGACATGTATGTAAAAAATGAAGTTGAAATATATAAATACGTAGGAATTGAGTTGCATGCATGCAAACCTTCCAAACCCGTTTGTTTTGCAAACTCTCTAAAAGTTTCACTGCATTTATAGTGCTTGTAATTTCTCTGTCCTTGCAGGGCTATGTGCTTAATTGACTTTGGGATACCAATTCATCAAGACGACGAGCCGAACGTCAACCAAAATCAGTTGCTCGACAAGTTAGTTATATCGAACAGCACGAAGATGAATAAAAAGAGAAAAAAAATAGATCAACAGATACATTTACATAAGAAAAGGAACTTTGAGTTTTGTGCATTCAAAGATCCGGTTTTGTTTGTTGGCTATCTATCAGAAAATTCTGTATTTGTATTAGAGAGGCAGTGGGTGGATGTAGTGAAGAGCTTGGATGCTCCCGTTCATAGACATATATATGGAACCTAATTATGTATACTTTTGCATGAATCACAGCTGCAAAATGGGTTTTTGGTGGTTTACCCTTTCCCTTTTCTTTTTGGCAGGTCTCATTTATTTTGGTCTCATTTGTAAAATATTGAACTATTATTTTAGTGCTATTCGTTAAGAGTAATATTTTTTTTTATGTTAGCAGAGTATTATATTTTGAATGAGTAGTGTTATTTATATGAAGGCACAATATCTTTAAAGCGTCAAAGTCTGTCCTTGAAAATGTTGATATTCATTGGAGAAATTTATGGTGCAAAAATTATATTTATTCAATTTTTTTTTGGGATGTAGAGTTCTTCATCTCTCTTGAGTACATATAATTCTGTAAAGACTTTATTTTGATGGTAGCGAGGTAGAAGAGAGTTGGAAACGAGTCTTGAGAGGTTTTCGGGACAATGAGTCGGAAAAAAATGGCATGAGGTTGGTTTCTCGGATTATAATGTTTGAGAGGGAGAGATTTCGGGAGAAGATTTTGGATGCCTTTTCTTTTTTGTATAAAAATGAGAAAACAATAAAAAGTTATATAGTATAATATGATATCGATCAATGATATCTTAATAAAATGATCTTGATGGGGGATATCATGTGGTGCTTTTAAAGAAAGATGTACTTGAATAATTGTTAGTAATGATAATCTTCTCAAGTAGTTGTTCATTTCCAGGTTGGTTAGGTTATCTTCAAGGAAGAGATGTAATTCAGTTATTTTGGAAGGGTGGGTTCGATTCAACCACTTGACAGATGGGCTCGATTTTTATGAAAATCTTTGAAAACATCTTATAATTTCCCCTATTTTGATAAATTTAAAAAGATGGGTGGAGTCATTAGTTATCATTTGATTTACACTGAACTATTAGTATGAGCTTTACCCTCTGGTGTGACTAGGGGATACTTGATAAAGAATCACATCGGAGGCTTTTTGAATATGCACGATGGTTTTATAGTGATCAATGTATCTATGGAGATTGTAGAATAAAAACTTTTAGAGGAGAAGATTCTTAAAAGCTAATCAATATCCCCTGAAGCTTTATTTTTTTAATAAGACATCAATGTTCACCTTTTATGATATCACGAGGGATCAATAATGTAAGATTTATCCCAATTTGTTAATAATGTTAGGAGATCATTGGCTAATCAGACAACAAGAGAATGATTGATTGAATTGTATTATGAAGAAGATGCCAACATGAAGATGAGGAGGCCCTACAAGGGTTCCTTTCAATTGACCAATCATAGCTTGAGGTTGACTTTATAATAAATGAGTTTTAGTATGTTGTGACAATATTAAAAAATTGGTGAATTTGTGTAAGATTTGAGAAGAGTAAGCTTGTTACTCTTTCAACTCTTGAAGATAATTCTCAAAAGTTGTTAACTATTGCAAATGTGTTTGTAGAATGTTGAGAATTGTTCACAAATACACTGCCATAATATTGCATGTTCAAAAAATTATTTTGCTTAAATGAGAATTTTGTTTTAAATTTAAATGAAAATCTTGCACTCTGATAAATATAGGAATGCATGAGACTATAATTTTCTTAAAAAATTTTAAGAAGCAAATCATGGGGCCAAGTTGAGGTGTAATAATTTACTAGATAAGTAAAATTACAAGGCTTCACATTTCCTCTAAATCAAAGAAGTTGAGATTGTGGAGTAATGTGAACAAACTTGGACTTCAAGCTAAAGTAATATTGAATGGATGATGGTGGCTGTGGTCTGATAATGTTTGTCAACTAACAATGATTGGATAATGACTGAACAATGGTGGCTGGACAAAAAAAATTGAATGATGTTGAATGAAGTTATAATAGTAGGGTGTCAGTAGTAAGATGACAATGATTTGACGTTGTCAATGATTGATAGAAATCATGTGTGTCAAATGTCATGTAAAGCTAAAAAATTATATACATGTCCAAGCTATCTTCAAACTCAAGTTTAGGCCCCCTTTTTGTGTGAAATGATTACCTATTTATAAATTTGTCTTTTTGATAAATTTAGCTAAAATCCTAAAACATTCATTTGGATGACACATATTGATTCTTTAAATCATACATCATTCGTTAGTTTAGAATTCCTTAATGACCTTAAAATCGAGAGATCATGTCTCATTGATCTTCTCTCATCGAAAATATTTACCTTTCCATTAGTACTTCAACATCTCATTTGATGTCTTTGTGCTTAATTAATTATGATCGTGTGCAGTGTGCTATCAAAAGTCTATTTCTTAAGATTTGAGCTCCATCTGTATTACAAAAAATAACATTATTTTTAACTTTTAAAAATTGAAATTCATCTTTTCATGCATATATATATATATATATATATATATATATATGTAAATACATAATAATTGAATGATTGTTATGTAAATCTTCCAACTAAAGAAAGCAACGTTCCAATTTTGCTGATTCCCTACCACTAATATTTTGTAGCGTGCGACACTATTGACTTTCGAGTCGTTGGCCGATATGCTAAAAAATCTAAAAAATAATAAAAACGAATTATAAATAAATGAAATTGCAATTCAATTATATATTTTATATTTTCTTTTAAAATCTAAAAAATAATTAAAACGAATTATAGATAAATGAAATTGCAATTCAATTATATATTTTATATTTGCTTTTTTTTTGTCCGTTAATTCAAGTTATCGGCCGGAGGAAATTTTAAAATAAAATTGAAAAAATAGATAAATCGAACACGAGCCGAACACGAACACAAATATATAAATCGAGCAGAACACGAATACACTGTTCACGAGCCGGTTTTGAACACGAGCCGATTTCAAACACAAGTAATTTTGAACGAGCCGAACACGAGCCTAGCCTGAGCTCGGCTCGTTTACAACCCTAATTACGAATATACCTGATTGTTTAAATTTACAAAATAAAATACAGTGAAATTTTATCAAATGTAAAATCGTAAGAATTACAGGTGTAAAATAAATGAAATGTAAACTTTTTAATATTTTGCATATTTAATAAAAACTAATTAAATCGAACACAAAATATAAATGTAAGGGGTTTGAAACGTGATAAAATGCACATCTTAAGATGGTAAATACTAAGGTGTGTTTGGGGCAGTTTATTGCTGCGGTCACATTTTAAAAACACTGTTGGTTGTGTTTTGATCTTGCGTCGCCGGGGATTATCTTAGTAATCTGATCAACTGTTCGATTGAACGTAGCCGCAGGATCAACCCCGTGACCAGCGTTCTTGTAAGGATGGTCTAAGAATGTATTTTAGAAGGGCACGTTATTGAATAAGCAAATTCATGAAAAAATAGAAATAAAATTATTATATATATGAGGATTATGTTAGTCTACGAGATAAACAAGCAATCCTTCTGACCAATAGCAGAACAGAAAAAGAAATTTCAGTACATCCCTCCTTTTGATTCTTTGATGAAATTTTGTCGATTATGTATTGGCCAATAATTGAGAAGTGGGGCCAATGGCTACAACGTGACAGCCCCACGTCAGCAGTATCTACCACACGCTATTCGAGATTTAAGGATATTCTCTCTCTCCCTCCTCGTCACGTGGCCACTTGCTATTTCCCGATGCCGTGATCTTCACTTATCCCCCCTCTTCCTCGCTTCCTGTTTGGGACAGTTTATTTGATGCAACGACGCTTTTAAAACGTTAAAAATAGTATTTTCATCATATATCTATTTAGATGCGGTGACAGCTGACCGACAGCGGGCTGACTTTTCAAAAAAAAATAAAAATTTTCTAATATCCACCACACTTAACTTATCAGCAGATTATTTTTAATCAGTCTATCAACAAATTATTCAATAAGTTGCAGCTGCCTCAAATATTTCCAAAGATTTGTAGAATTAAAGAGAAAGTAAAACCGAGAAAAATTAATCTCTTATTTGATTTATTGATTAAGTATGTAAATCCAATAAATGTTTTTTAAGTTTCAATTATAAATTGATTGAACATGATTAATCTTTTATTTGCTTGTGTTCCTGCTTATTTTAGCTGGAAATAAAAAAAAAATTATATATATATATATATAATAATGTAGTATATATATTTATATTTAAGTTAAATCATCAAAGCTTTGGTGGTCTGTGTGGCTTTGAGTTTTTAATGCTTAGCAATCAATGATATGTATGTATGTATATTAGTTTAAATGATATGCTTAGCAATCCAATATCTTACATCTATTTTCTAATTAGTTTAAAGTTGTCAATTTCGAGTCGAACATGAACATGAATATGTAAATCAAGCTGAACACGAACACACGGTTCATGAATGGTTCCAAAAGCGAGCCAATTTTGAACATAATTAATTTCGAACGAATCCGACACAATCCAAGCCCACTGTCGCTCATGCTCATCTCTTTTACAACCCTATTTATTGCCAATAAACCAATAGAAATGGTCAATTAGCATATTAAATTATCTATACATGAAAAGGTGCATTTCACCTTTTAGAAAATTAAAGTTGTGATATTTTTGATGTGATATGAAAGATTTAAGAGGTATAAATTTTAAAAAAAAATTAAATTTGGGTATCGGATATGTACATACATAATAATTAAATAGTAAATATATAAATACCCCTCTTTTATTTTATAAGTGCTCGAATACCTAACAAATTAGTTGAAAATAACATAAACATGTCCAAGGTGTTGGGCTCAAGAGCTGACATTGCCTGAAAGGAATAAATATGCATAAATAATATAAAATAAGAAGTTCTATGCCTGACATTTTTCTCAAATGATCCAACTTAAATTATTTTTTATATGCTTGTTTTGCTTTAGGATGTGGTTTGAAGAGTCAGAGAATATGTTGTCTAGAAAAGATTGAGCTCAAGAAAATTAGGTTTTTCAAAACATAAGAGTATCATATGTAGGATTCAATGGAAAGAGACATATCTCCATCACTTAGCAATCAATGATATGTATGTATGTATATAGTTTAAATCTTGTTTGAAATAAATTGTTTGTTTTAGTACCAAGGAAATATTGTTAAGAATAAACAACTTCAAAATTAGTTAACTATTATATATATATATATGTGTGTGTGTTTGAATAAAATTAATTGTTTAATTTTTAGTGCTATTGTTCATAATAAGGAAGATTTACATACATATCACTTAATCTTTTTTAT